GTGGTTCCCAAACTTTTCAGCTTTTGACCCACAAAATAACAGTAGCAGAGACCTGTTCCCCCAAGTATTTTTGGATGATAAACATACCCATAATTGGGTCCCAAGCCCAACTTTGGGAACCAAAGTGCAGTGGTTCCCAAACTTTTCAGCTTTTGACCCACAAAATAACAGTAGCAGAGACCTGTGCCCCCAAATGTTTTTGGATGATAAACATTTGTATCAGGTCAATAAAACATGGGCATAGTAACAATATTTTTATACTACATTTATCCATTTTAAATATACTAACCTCACTTCCTTGTAACAACTAAGGCAAAAATGTAATTAATTCAGAAAATTTTTTCAGGACCCCACTTTGGGTCCCGACCCCAACTTTGGGAAACACTGCCGTAGAGCCTCCAGTACTTTTCCTTCTAGTTTGGTATAGTCCATTATTATTGTTGTGTGACAAATAAAACTAAATAAGATTTGCCATTTGATTATGACGCTGCCCACACCGAGGCGGCTCTCTGCTAAGCTCAACAGGCCGGGGCAGAGTAGGCCAGACTGAGAGCTGTGGCGCCCTCTGCTGGATGGAGTCCATACTGCACTGAAACGGATGTTTTCAATTAATCAAATGGAAGGAGTTTCAATCTAATAAACCATTATTCGACAATCACTCATAAGTCGATTACTTGTTTGCATCCTTAATGCAAAGCTTTATAACATGTGATGTCATTCCTTTATCAAAAACACACCTGGTGTGTTGCTTTGACTCATTCATGCATGTTTGAGAAATCCTTGAGTCTCCTGTAGTAGTCCTGTGGAGCTGCTGGTACAAAGCTCCTCCCTGGAGCTCAGTTTGCATCTGAGCTGCCCCTACACAGAGCATGACAAAAGCTGTGTGGTGAAGGCATGCTGCAGTGGGAGTGTCTAATGTGATGGGAGGTTCTTAAAGAGATGGAGGCCAGTTTCAAAGCATTTAGACGTTTGCTATGATGCATAGTCAAATGTATTTTTGCTACAGCATTTTCACAACAACTGAAGATAACATGGTTACTTGATTGTGGTATAAAATCAAAAAATTAAACTATATGCTTGGAAAATACATAATACTGCTCTTTTTCAAAAAAGGATCCAGATTGGACATCTTCTCTGATCTTGTCAGCACTTTGACTGGCTTAATCTTGTGTTTTGTCAGTCAGGAAACGTAATATCACAGCATTTAACTGAATCTTTGTTGATGATTTTAAATGGGTTAGCCTTAGAGAGAAGACTGAGGATAAAGTTAGAATAAGATAAGCTATATAAACTGTGCCTTATAAGAGTATTATCTTTGTCTTTATGTTCCAATTTGGACATTTTTCTGTAAATTTCTTTAATTCTGCAATATTTTGTCTAAAACCATCTTAATGCGTCTGGCTGCAGATGAATGTTTGTGTTGGTTAAAACAGTACGTACATGTTCATGTCCCAGCTCCCAGTTTGGTTAAAACAGGCCTCTCACTCAGAAACAGTGAGTCAGGGGTTGGAACAGGAAACACTACGATGGAAGTTTGTTACTGGTTTGAACATAAACCAGTGATACTGTTAACATCACGTTAACACTCAGAAACTGCACAGAGTCTGTCCTCCACTGCCTCTGCAGCATCGCTGAGTCAGCACCTTGAGCCAGCAGCTTGATCCAATAAGGCCCAGACCACTCGACCTCTATGAGGAGGGGAGTGTTCATCACAGCTACACTACCTGTGTCACTCTGGTCACAGTCTGTTTCAGTGAAAAAGCCGGCTGGTTCTCCGCACATGTACGTATTCAGAAATGAAGCAGGCAGAGGGAGAAACAAGCAGCTGTGCTTGAAGAGCAGCGCAACGCATGGACGTCTGCCTTGTATCAACAACCAAACTGAATTAACTTACTTTAGGGAACTCCTTTGTGGTTCAGTATTTATTTTTAAACAAAGTGGCTCGGTTGGTAGAGCTGATGCCTCTCAGCAAGAAGGTCACTGGATCAAATCCCGGGCCAGAGACCGTTCAGGGTAGAGTTTGCATGTTCTCTTTGTGCATGCTTGAGTTCTCTCCGGGTACTCTGGCTTCCTCCCACAGACCAAAAACATGACTGTTAGGCTGTCTTTTTGGAGAGGGTGCACTACCCACACAGTCAGTCTAACCCCCCAACAATGCATCTCTGTTTGGACAGATCATTTTAGTCTCTAGCACCATTCTCAACATGGGACATTCCCCCACCACCTTTAAAGAATACAAGAATGTGAGATACAAATCTGAATTTTTATATTAATGCAAACAAATGGTTACAAATAACACTGAAAGTGTGAACATGTTATTGAATACAAATACTACTAATAAAAAAGGAGAAACGGTGAAAGGAAAGTACTGTAAATCAGTGAGTGATTGCACTGAAATGCAGCTGCAGGTCATTGTTTACAGCTGCCTTCATCATCATCATCATCACAGGTTTCAGATGAAGAAAAGGTAAATGGACTGTACTTGTACAGCGCCTTTCTACAAAACCAGGACACCCAAAGCTCTTCACACTACATTAGGTCTCTACAGAGCTAACATGTACAATCATCTATGGAGACTAATCAGTGCCAGTCACATTCATACACTGATGGGACACATCAGAGGCATTAGGGGTGAAATATCTTGCTTAACGACACAACAACCAAGACAGCTGGACTGGGGATCGAACTGGTGACCTTCCAGTTCGACTCCCCTAACCACTCTGCCACAGCCGTCCAAGGCTGTAGAGAGACTTCATGGATCATCACTGGTTTCTGAAGCAGGGATAACCCCATCATTTGGCTTTAAAATAAAAGAAAAAAGTTAAAATTTAACATTCAGCTTCACAAATATAAATACAGCCCATCTCCCCCTAAACCAATAACATCAGTAGGTACTGGCACTCAAAATGTAGAATTCACAACAGTTGTTTTTTTTTTGTTTTTGTTTTTTTTACTCAAACACATTGTTTTGGTGTGAAAAAGCACTGCTATTTCACACCTGTTTACAACATACAGTGGTTTTGGATCGAACATGTTTTATTCAAGCCAGATAAATGCAGAGTTGTTGAGAGTAAAACGTACAGGACTTTCATTTTATTTTGTTGTAAACAAACTGCTCAGCAGGTAGAAGTTGTGTGTATTCAGTCATTGCAGTGCTGAGTTCCACTGCTTTGTAAGTTTATTTTATTTATTATTTTAATGATTGCCTGTACCTACTAATAAAGCTTCAGCCTGCCTTTGCAAATACTAAAGATTTTTACATTTTTGTTAAAAAGTTTAAAAATACAACCATAAATAATCAAAATATGACCCTACCTTCACTTTAGAGAAAAAGCAGGACATGTCCTGTGCACATCTCCTCGTCATGTTTATGTTGGTAAAAACTGATTTCCTTTGATTTCTGCAGCTTTTTTCTTATTTCTGATAAAATCAGAATAAAATTTCCTCCCGCTTCTTTCACGTGCTGCGTTTCCTGCCCCGATCCTACAGGCGTCTCACCTGCGGTCCGGTCCGGTCGGGTCGGCCAAGAGCTCACTGAAGCTTGTGTAGGAAATGTAAGATAGTGCACTAAATCCAGTGATAAATGTGGAAGTCAGGACAAACTAATTCATTCTGTGGTAGACGGAGTAAACGCAGCTGAAACTACATCAACGTTGTTTGTGAAAATTTTGATTTTAAAATAAAATCCACATGTTTTATGTGTTTATTCATATGTTGCTGCATGTTTCCATCAGCTTTCCAAACAGAACGCTATAGGGCTGGGCGATTATTTGATAGTGATTATTGATCGAGAACAAATTCAGGTCGATCACGGTGATCAGCTGTGAGCCTCTTCCTCGATCAAACATGGAGGAAATGTGCGCGACAACAGCCAATCAGAATCCACCTTCTCCTGCTCCACTTCTGTTTATAAGTTGATGAAACGCAGACGAAATCTCAGGATTAACTAAACAAAACGTAATCCAGTATAAAACACTGAATCACACAGAGTTCACTTATTTGGGCGAGTTTCTGAGGTATTTTGACCGCAGAGAGATCGACAGTGATTGTGATTGACAGTTGGCAAGTGTGCTCAAATTGTTGCTGTTTTTTATTTTTTATGTTTCTTTATGGCTTATTTAATGTGAAATTCATTTCTAAAACTTTAATTTTACAAAAGGATAACTTTATTAATGTGAGATTCTATGATTTACATATAAATATTTTTTCTTTGTAAATACCTTTTTAAATATCTTGCAAAAATAATTTAATTCTCTGCTGAACCACAGCTATTTGTTGTATTAATGAAAGTAAAATAACAGCCATTATTTTTTTCTGTTGCTATTTATTTGTTAAATTATCTTTCTGTCACTTTTTAGGTTAACAAAAAAACTGTGGTATTAATCGAGATCGGACGATATGAAAAAAGTAATCGTGATCATTTTTTTTACCGTATCGCCCAGCCCTAGAACAATACATTTTGACATTTATGTATAAATATTTACGTATATTTTATTAATATAGCAACAGTTTTGACAAAACTGGTGGGGTTTTGGTTAATTACTGTGAAAATATGGAAGTTACGTTGGTAATGATTTTGTTATTTGTATAGACATGTTCTAAATAGTATTGTCAGAAATCAAACAAATGAAATAACCATGCTCCTACGGCAGGTCCCTTTAGTTCTTCAAAAATAGCCTTTAAGCTACATTTGTTGTTTTATGATGTTAATAGCCTAAATGCCACAGACATCCGGCCCAACACTTGATGCCACTCCCGACACTTCCGGTTCATGGTCAACAGTGTTAGCGAAAGATTTTTTCACCTGACAACGACTCTTAATGATCTCCACAGTACAGAATTAGCATATTACATGTACCAACATAAACACAGGAAATGTACAGGTTCAGCCAAGTGGAAAAAAATCACTCCAAAGTGGATTAAAGCCATAAAACAAAGGAAAGACGTTTGTGTTTATGGGTCCAGAATTTAGCCTTTTTCACTAATCTGTGGCTGCTTGTTCTGTGAATTTTTCACGTAGAGCTGTGACACTTATATTGTTGGAAAGAGCAGAGTCTGGGCTTTAAATTGATGGGCTACTTGCATGGTTTGGATCGTTTTCCCTGACGTTAGTGAACTGAAAACGTAATGATTATCAGGCGGAGGTTCTGCTGCTCTCGGTGCTCGGTTTAGTCTACTCTATAGCCTAATGTACACTCTAACAAAGTTTTACTTTTGCATAAAACTCATGACAAAGTTGCCTAAAAATATTTCATGCTCTCTATAACACAAACGCGCACACACTCACCTACCTGTATCGGCTGCTGTGTTAGCTTCCTGCTAGCTGTCCTCTGGAGGAGGTCTTTCCTCTCTCATCTTGGCAGAAAAAGGGGATAAATGTACATTTCCCTTTTGTCACCTCCATCTTCTCATCTCTGATGCTGGCTCTTGAATATCCTCAGGTTAGAAATGCAGATTACAAACACAAGCGTGAGCTTTAAAAGATAAGTTTTCCCTATAATGCTATAATCCACTGCTGTCACCTCCTCATCAAGAGGAAAATGGATAAAAACTAACCACTCTATCGTACCTGCTGGTTAGTGGACACAACAGCACACAACAGAACTCAGGTTTTATACCAGTAGATCACAGATGCTTTAACTTTTGTGACTTTTTCACAGACTAGTACTAGCAGCTAACGCTAAAAACAGGCAGTAAACGGGAAGTGGAAGGGAGGAGCGTGGCAAAAATTTTACTGGAAATACGTCATTAATGACCGTGGCATATAGGCTATTCAGTTCAGTTTATTTATGTAGCACCAAGTCACAACATACATTGTCTCAGGGCACCGTACATGAAAAAAGAACAATCTAAAGAAGAATGAATGTTAATAACACTAATATACTGACATTTTTCTAATTTTAGTCTAATGTTGCTTCTGTTTAGCGTCGCCACGGTTGCTAGGGGATAGGATGCACGTTGGAGTAAGGACAGGAAGCTAAGCAGTCCAAATTCCCAACCACTTTTTTCTGGTCTTCCCAGTCTATCAAGTACCCGGCCTACCTAGACTGGATCGGCCGGATCCTTCAGAGGACCCAGCCTCTGAATGTGGACACAGCCGTGGTCTCAGCGGTTGTCATATTCAGTTGTATAAAGAAATCTGTCAGATTCCTTTACACTTAATAATGTACAGTGATGTAGCCCTAACTAATCTTGGATGTTAAATGTTGCAGCCAAAACTAAAGTTTTTATTCAATGTCACCTTCGTACAATTATGTCTATCAAAACCTTCTGTCTAGAAAGTGAAAGCATTTATGTTCAATAAAACTTTATTATTCAAACAGTTTCTTGTCAAAAACATTGCATGCCTGTATTTCATGAAAGCCTTTTTATGGTAACACTAAACCTCATTAGTATGAACATTTCCTTCATTTTCAAAGACAAATTACCTTTTGTTCTGTGCAGTTCTGCCTCCTGTCTTGGTCCCGCGGCACAGCGAGTTCAACCCTCAGCACAGCTTACTCGTCCAGTTTCGCAACCTCACCCATAACGAGCCACACATGCCCCTGAACGCCACCTTTCCAGAGTCCTTCCAGCAACCTCACAGTGGGGGCAGCAGCAATGGTGGAGGTGGAGGAGGCAGCGGCGGCACGTTCCCCATTTCTCCCAATTCTCCATATCCTTCTTCTCCAGCCAGCAGTGGTACTTATCCCAACTCGCCCGCCAGCTCGGGGCCCTCTAGCCCATTCCAGCTCCCAGGTATGAACGCACTACCTAACCCTGGGAAACACACCAGACTGTTTTTATTTCTCTAGGGTCTTTGTCATGTAGCTAACAAACAGAATGACTTCACAAACACAGGTCTTACATTGGTCTTATGTGTACCATTAATAATGTTTCTAGTTCAAGAATAAAATGTTTTTCTCTGACGTGGTATAATCATCTTATCTTCTCAAATGGTTTTAAATGTAGGTATTATGTATTTCAAGACATCAATACTCCAATCATAGCGAGATAATGTTTAACAAAATCAAGATGCCCACTTAAATAAAAACTAACAATATGTTAGCTAAGCAGTATGGTGTGAATTAAGTTCTGGTTCAGGTTAGGGTTAGCTATAGACCAGCAAGATAATTTTAGAAATGTCAGGGTTAGGAATAAATATAGTTACAAAAATGAATGGAAGTCGATAAAAAGTGCTCAGTGTGATGCAAATACAAGGACGTGTGTGTGTGTGTGTGTGTGTGTGTGTGTGTGTGTGTTTTTCCTACGACGTGGGGAAAATTTTCCCAAAAAAAAAGCAGACTCGTGGGGACCGAAGTGAATCGTGTAGACCGATGCCAGGTCCCCATGGGTCCAAATGCAAATGATAGGTGTGGGGTTAGGTTTAGGACCAAGGTTTAAAGAGTAACTTACCCCAAATTAACTTTTTTTAGCTGATAAACTGTCTAGAATGTGTCTAAAATGTTATATAGTACTGTTTCTGTGCTAATTTTGATGTTTTTGTGCGTATTTGTTCAAATCTGTAATATTTGGTCTAAAAACATGTTTTTGCTGCTCATATGGGTAGAGCAGTGGTACTGCAGGCTAATTTGCATATTGGTTAACGGCTCTCCACGGTGACGTGTCTTCTCCAYGGTTTCGTCACAGCGGCTGTGTTCTGGTATAAAAGCCTCTCTCTAAGACACGCCCCTGCAGCAGTCAGAGGGTGGAACAGTTAGCAAGCTTAGCATGATCGTCTGTTGACCTTCAGCCTCGGGTGGGAGAGCTGACTGCTGTGCTGCTCTCTCTACACACACACACACACACACACACACCAGCAGTACTTCCTGCACAGCAGGAGGGGAGGAGGGAAAAAAAGGCAAAAACACAGCTGGGCAGCTGCAACCCTAATGGACCGAACTTCAGTCAAACAAGACCCAAAACTTTTATTCCTGATTTAAACTAGTGATCATGTGAGCAGCTGCAGCTGTATGTTTTTATTTTTTTATGTCAGGCTGTCGCGGAGCGCTCCTCTGTCCGAGGCTGGTGTGGTGTGAGGCGGACAGCTCAGCCGAGACTCGTCCTGGCCACACCTCCGCTCTCTAACACCCCCCACCTACACCCCCTCCCCTACCCACTTTGATGTATTTTTCATATTTTGCCTTTGGGCGGAGTTATCTTTTCACACGGGGGGTAAGATACACTTTAAGTTAGTTTTAGGGTCAGCTGAGGTTAACTTTAGGCTAAATGGGTCAGGGTTTGGATATGTAAGTCAATGGAAGGTCCCCACAGGGTTCAGCATGTCAGTGTGCTGTAAAGTGCAGGTCAGCTAGCTGCAGATAAACAGAAAATGTTGAATTTTACGGTTATATTCACAGCAATTTAGCAATCATTGTTTACAGTAGTTTTGGGAGTGGCTGTGGATAAGTGGTTAGAGGAGTTGTTCTTCTAATATTAGAGTTGGTGGTTTGATTCCCCATTATTCTGTCACATGTCCAAGTTTCCCTTGGGCAATACTCTGAACCCCTCTGATGTGTGTCCCATCAGTGTGTGAGTGTGATTTAAATCACAGATTAGTCTGTATAGATGGATTTACTTGTATTAGCTTTGTAGAGACCTAATATTGTTGTGTGAATGGATAAATGAGGACACAGATTGTAGAGTGAAGAGCTTTGAGTGTCCTGGATGGATAGAAAAGAAGGACAGTCTATTTACCAGTTTAGTAAAGGTTTGCTGCAGTGTTTATGTTTTCTCCTGTCTTCATCAGTAAGGCCTTCAGCAGCTCGTGTTGCAGCTCTGATGGGAATGTGATAGCATGTGGCCTGGAAGTGAAGCATGTGTGTAATCTGACACCATTTCTGGGGCACACGTCCTGTGATGATTGTCTAGGGAGAGTGTGTGTGTGGCCTTGTTTTTCCTACATTTTGGGGACAATTTCCCCAAAAATGCAGCATCGTGGGGACCAATGCCCGGTCCCCATGGGTCCAAATGCAAATTACAGGTGTGGGGTTAGGTCTAGGACCAAGTAGGAATGCGCGATATAAACGATATACGGTAGAAACGATATAAATTTGTCCTATGATAGAGATCTGTAGTCTACCGGCCAACCGCGCAATTCTTTTTGATGATGTAACCAGCTGGAGTCAAAACAGAGGAAGTGGGAAGCAGCGAGCCTGAGAGTGCAAATGAAGAGGGGGAAAAAAACATAACTTATCCGGACCTGGTTCTGGTGTGTGAAAATGAACGCCAAACTGTTTACATGTTTACGTGATGGTGCGTCCTCCGGTCGGATGCCAACCGACCACAATGCCTACTGCGGGAGGAGTGTGCGCCGCAGCATGTGTGAATGCGCTTGCACTCCAAAGTGCGACTATAATGATTGTCACCCTGCCAGAGCGCACATATTAAACAGGTGGAGTGCAGAAAAAATAATCTACAAAGTGTGTAGAAAGGAATAAATACAAACTATTTGTTTTACCACCTTAAAACAAAGCAGGTGATTCCAAACACAACATCCAATGGATGCAGATATCTGTTACATTAAACGTGTGTGTGTGTGTGTGTGTGTGTGAGACCATTTGCCTGAAACAGCAGCAACTGGTACAATCCTTGCTAACTGGTTTTCCTGTCTCAGCTGACACCCCACCCCCAGCTTACATGCCCCCTGACGAACAGCTGGGCCCAGAGAGCCAGTCCATGGACACCAGCAGCAGTCTGGTGTCACAAGGCATACCAAGAGGTGAGAAGTGCACACAACAGTAGCAGCACCGTGTTATTATTATTTTAATTTCAGTGTTTTTATTGGAAAAGAATAAAAGAAGTCCAGTTTTCAGCAGCACACATAAAGAATCTTGTCTTTGTGCCTTTATTTATGTGAGAGAAAACACTGTTCTGGACTTGATCTCAAACAGAACCGACAGTTTGTTTCAGTCTGGTTTTTATCTCAGTCTGAATTCTGTTAGGGAGGAGGATCACATCTTTTCTGTAACCAGTTTCTGTCCTGATGCATCTCAGTAATCCAGGTAGAAAAAAGAAAAAACAAGTAGATCCTCTGGATGGTTCTTCTTTAGTGAAACGTTTCGTCTCTCCTCCAAGAGACTTCAGTCAGAGGTTCAGGTGAACTCAGCCTTATAAGCCACTTCTTAAATGTCCACATGGTGGACAAACAGCTTAGTCACATGCAAAAGAGGGCCATCGACTAACAATAGGCTTGATTAGCTCTATTTAGTCATATGCAAAAGAGGGCCATCGACTAACAATAGGCTTGATTAGCTCTATTGTTCATAGAGAGTCATGTGTCCATCACCTGACTTATTGCAAGTATGACTCAGCTCCCTGTGAGCAAAAGGTGTGAATCAGGGCCCCAACGATACCAACACAAAGAGGGACAAAACAAAAACAAGGGGACGTTGAGCCCCGCCTGCATTCACTACATACACATGACACCTAAGAACCACAGCATCCAAACCAATAAGTCAGGTGATGGGGCACATGACCCTCTATGAACAATAGAGCTAATCAAGCCTATTGTTAGGTGATGGCCCTCTTTTGCATGTGACTAACCTGTTTGTCCATGTGGAGGCAGTGCTTATAAGGCTGAGTTCACCTGAAACTCATCAGACTGAAGAAGTCTCTTGGAGGAGAGACGAAATGTTTCACTAAAGAAGAACCATCCAGAGGAACTACTTATTTTTTCTTTTTGATTTTTTTCTACCTGGATTACTGAGATGCATCAGGATATTTAAGGTGTTGTTACACAGAAATGGGGCATAACGGCACTCCTCTAAGCTAAAAGCCAGATTTAAACCTTTAACATGTATTCAGTATACTAGGCTGCACTCAGTGTTGCTGCTGCCTTTTGTGTTTGCACATAATGTAAGTGTGTAATGCCTATTGATGGAGCTGTAAAGCTTTATAAAACAGCATTAACCTGACCTGGTGTGAGATAGTTTTATATTGAAGTTGTTTAAAGATGACAGCAATCCCAGTTAGTTTTGACTTCACTCAGTCTGGGCTTTAATTCAACTAAACGAAACAGATCAGAGAGCTGTGTACAACAGGTCAAATTTAAATATTCATAATGTTTACTTCAAAAGGTCTGAAATACCCCTTGAACACATTAACATGTTTAATATTATATTTCATCATCATCATCACTTTATTTATTAGCACATTTAAAAACAACAGTGTTAACCAAAGTGCTTCACAGTCACAATACAATAAAACAAATTAAAAGCTGTAAACAAAATAAAAAGATAAATTACAAATTCCCCATGTAGCTGAAACTGAACTTGAGTTAAAAGCCAGTGTAAAAAATAGAGTTTTTAAGTCGGATTTAAAAGACTGAACAGACTCTACAATATACGGATCTCAAGAGGCAAGTTGTTCCAGAGTCTGGGGGCCGCCACAGCTAAAGCCCGTTCCCCTCTACGCTTTAGTTTTGCCTTTGGCTGCACAAACGCATCTGATTAGAGGATCTAAGTTCTCTGTTTGGGGTATAAAAGTGCAACAGGGCCAATAAATAACTGGGTGCCAGGCCATTTAAAACTTCTTAAACCTAAGTAAAAGAATCTTAAAATCAATACGAAATCGAACAGGCAGCCAGTACAAGTCAGATAAAACAGGAGTGATGTGGTCCTGTCTTCTAGAACCTGTTAAAAGACGTGCAGCAGTGTTCTGGACTAACTGCAAGCAATGGACAGATGATTGTTCCAAACCAACATATACTGTAAAGAGTTGCAATAGTCCAGTCTAGATGTAATAAAAGCATGGATAAGAGTTTCAAGGTCGTTGTGGGGGATGTAAGATTTTGCTTTGATTAGAGGAAGCTGATAAAAAATGGTTTTAACAACTGAAGATATTTGTTTCTCAAATTTAAAAGCACTGTCTAAAAACAGTCCCAAGATTCTTGACCACAGATGAGCAATATCGAGCAAGTGGGCCAAGAATTCCAGGTAAACCATCATGAATAGAGTGATTACCAAACAAAATAACTTCGGTTTTGTCTTCATTCAAAGTCAGACAATTCTGGGATAACCAGTCTTTGATGTTCTGGAGACAATTTAAAAGGGGCTGCAGAGGGGCAGAGATATTTGAATCAAAAGGATAATAAACTTGAATGTCATCAGCATAAAAATGGAAAGATATTTTGCACTTTTTAAAAATTGATCCCAATGGCAGCATGTACAAACCAAAAAGAATAGGTCCTAAAATAGAACCTTGAGGTACACCACAGCAAATAGGACTAGATGAAGAAGAGTATTCCCCCATAGAAACTGAAAAAGACCTTTAACTAAAAAGATTTTTAACTATAAAACAGTTGTTCCTCTGGCAGGTTGTATTGAGTCGAGAGTTTCATATCAGAAAAAAACCCTTTAAATTCCAAATATCCACCTCGTGTTTGTGACAAACCGTTCTGTCTGAACCGAAAGGCTTCAGGTGAAAAGCTAATGAAGTGCAAGATTACCCAAATATAAGGTTATATGTACTGAATACTTTGTTTTGTTGTTTCCAGATGTGCAGCCAGTGGAGTATGAGGAGCCAAGCCACTGGTGCTCCATTGTCTACTATGAGCTGAACAATCGGGTAGGAGAGGCCTACCACGCCTCTTCAACCAGTGTTCTTGTGGACGGTTTCACTGACCCTTCCAACAATAAAAACCGCTTCTGCCTCGGACTGCTGTCCAACGTCAACCGCAACTCAACAATCGAGAACACCCGCAGACATATTGGAAAAGGTACGAATAACTTCAAATGAAAGGAAATGGTGAGGTTGTTGTTTTTCTCCTGCAGGAATAGTGATAGGTTGTGTTTGTTCACCAGGAGTGCACCTGTACTACGTGGGAGGAGAGGTGTACGCAGAGTGCCTCAGTGACACCAGCATTTTTGTCCAGAGTCGTAACTGTAATTACCATCACAACTTCCATCCCACCACTGTGTGTAAGATCCCCAGTGGATGCAGCCTGAAAATCTTTAACAACCAGGAGTTTGCTCAGCTTCTGGCTCAGTCGGTGAATCATGGCTTTGAGGCTGTGTACGAGCTCACAAAGATGTGCACGATTAGGATGAGCTTCGTCAAGGTGAGAGCACTTAGGATGAAATGACTCGACTCGTTCGCTCCAGCAGCGGTCTTCATGTATGTTGTTCTTTCAGGGCTGGGGAGCGGAGTACCACCGACAGGATGTGACCAGCACCCCCTGCTGGATCGAGGTGCACCTGCACGGGCCTCTGCAGTGGCTGGACAAAGTGCTGACACAGATGGGCTCACCGCTCAACCCCATCTCCTCTGTGTCCTAACAGACTGAAAGAAAAATCATTTGACCTGTTTTTAATGTTTTCCTCCAGCAAAGATTTATTATTTAAAGCTGTCTTAATGATGGAACTGTTTACACTTTGGGAAGGGATATTTAGCTCTGGCAGAAAATTCAAGCAGTTTCTGCCAGACTCACAAGGATTTAAAACAAACAACGTAAATGACGCCGGAAAGAAACGCGTGGAGAAAGACGAGGAAAGTCGAATGGACATGGACAGACCACTGCTCAGTGTCAGAACCAGGCTTTTTTTTTTTATCAAACTGTCAAATGTTCATGTTTGCATCTAATTTTTATTGTTTTTAACAAATGATTATTGTGTAGTTATCTGAACAGAACAGTTTTACTCTTCTGCCTTATGTCTGACAGACATTTTGAACTTTATAAAAGACTTATCTTACGTCTGTTATTTCACTTTAGATATACATACGGTTCTGTTCACCATTAGACTGACATAACAAAGCTTTTCTTTTTATAACTTACTGCTAGAAATGAACACTGAGCTACAGCTTTGAGAGCGTTGTGTATGGGAGATCACTGAACACGTCTGACATGACCATAAGCTAACATTGAATCTTACATCCATTGAAATATTAGTAGTCATGTAATCAGGAAATGGACACCCCCATTATGAATGATTCTTGTTCATATGTTCAAATAAGAGTGCCTTTTTTCAGACTCACTGTATTAACAATATTGTGCACTCACTGATTTTTTTTTATTTTATTGTTTTTTAGGAGTTATTTCAAAATGTTGGCTTGGGTACCAAGGCATTATGTTGATAATTTTACTACATTAGTTCAAATGAAATAAACATAAGATTTGTTAATGATTGTTTTTTGTGCTTCGGTCTGGATTTACTTTAATATTTGTTATTTTTGAGTTATAAAATCTACTAATGAAACATTGACTCATAATTACCACCTTGATTAGTATTGGGTGTAGAAGTTATTAATTTTATTTCTGTTCACAAACTTGTCTTAACCTCAAAATAAAGATTGTGGAGACTTGTGACCCCAACTTTTAAAAGTATACACTGTTTTATAACAAAACTACAACTATTCTACTTTTAATTCACTTTTAATTTGGTTTGTCTCCAAAGATTCCCAGCAGCACCTGTAGCTACAACATTTTCAAAGGTTTTATTAAAGTTTTGTAGATAATAAGAGCCCCCCTCCTGTTTCATGTAGGCTGAGTTGAGTGCTTTAAATTTACACGCTTCCGTCACTCTTGTAAGCTTCCTATTGGTCCACGTTTATATTTACCGTAAAACCTCTACAACTTGCGCAATACACTTAAGACACGCTTGAAAACAGTGCGCTGAGAAGGAAGGTAAATATTAGGTAAGTTTTGTTTCATTTTATTTTCCTCATGTGTGCTTAAATTACAACTTTCATAAATAAAACTGCGCGCTTGTCGGGGATGCGCGCCGTTGATCTTGCGTAAAATTACCGTACCAACCGGAAGTGAGGTGGCTCCCGAGCAAGCCAAGGATAAACACGTAGACGGTCCACAGGCGAAACTAATATTAAATATTAGGAGGTAACGGTGGTGTGGTTAAAATGGACTCGCTGGTAAAATATACTGGTTTTAGCGGATAAGAAGCATCGTTGAATCACCGGAGGAGCAAGTCTCAGACGACAGGTTGGTGAGTCTGACAGCTGTAGCTACAAGCTAACGCAGGCTAACTTGTATAAATATCACATTCATGTGAAGCTGCTCACAGAAATAAGATAAAAGCAAATGTTCCTGAGTGTTTCAGACACATATAAGTATCTCACAGTGTTGCACCGTGTTTTAGAAGTACTTGTGTACTTTTACTGTTGTATTTCTAGGGTTTAATTTAGAAACAAAATTAGCTTCAGAGGAGCAGCCAGGAGGTATTCACAGGATCACTACTCGGTGTAAAATAGTTTTACTGCTTTAGATTAAAGAAATGTTTCTATAAAACAGGCACTGAAGGGTTGAAATTATTTGTGATATTTGACTTTAATGTTTACAGTTTTTTCTTTTTGTTCTGATTAACCTGAACTACAGAAACATTTGTTTCATTAGGAGCTCTTCAAAGTTTAGTTTACTTGTTTCTGTTCAGCATTTAACTAAGTTAATCATACATTTGATAGTATAATTTCACACATTTAATCCCAAAAATAGTTCACTTGATTTAGCAAACAATTTCTAGCATAAAAGACCAGTTGAAAAATGTCTCCAAAATGTGAAATGAAGAGAAAACAACAAAATCAGAGTAAACATTTTATTGCAACAAGTATTAAACTGAAACAGACCGTTCATCTGATCAAACGTTTAAAGGAGCATTATCATGTAAAATCAACTTTTTTGAGTTTTATATCAGTTATGCTCTCATAAAAACATGCCCAAAGCCAGGGTTCGACAAGATTTTATTTTATTTTTTTACCTGCCCGACATGAAATAGTCTAGTACAGTGTTTCCCAAAGTTGGGGTCGGGACCCAAAGTGGGGTCCCGAAACATCAAGGTGGGGTCCTGAAAAGATTTTCAGAATTAATTACATTTTTGCCTTATTTGTTACAAAGGAGTGAGGTTAGTATATTTAAAATGGATAAGTGTGGCATAAAAATGTTGTTCCTATGCCCTTGTTTTGTTGGCCTGATGTTTATCATCCAAAAATAGTTGGGGGCACAGGTCTCTGCTACTGTTATTTTGTGGGTCAAAATCTGAAAAGTTTGGGAACCACCGCACTTTGGTTCCCTAAGTTGGGCTTGGGACCCAATTATGGGTCATGAAGCACCTTGGATAATCTCCAGAAATCAATTTAAAG